GTAGCCCATAGTCGACTGAGTGGATCGGCACTAGTTTGGCTCCGACGTATGGCCGACACCCCAGAAAAAAAAATAAAAATAAAATTCGCTGTATAATAAAGGAGAAATAAACAAAAATTAAGCGCTGACGAGTTTCGAACCTCGACACTCGCTTATCGTAAGCGTAGTATTTAACCCATTTTGCCATCAGCGCATATCAGCAGATAAGTATATTTCTCACTTATTCTGTTCTTTTCCTGACTAAAGCAGAAACGGGGTTACTTTTTAAATGAGCATATGAATAAATATTCTAATACATATATATAAGCAGCAGAATGGTATATTGTGTAAGAATAAAAAAGAGCGACATGTGGCTTTTTAGTTATTCAACTGTGTAAAGAAGTCAAAAGTTTTCTAGCCATAATTCCCTTTAGACCAAACTGCAATCTGTTTTACTCGGCAATTGTCTTCGAGAACAGATAACAGGATAATAATAAGGCAAGCAAAGGAAGTTGCATTTTTCATGATCTCATATTCTTTCTGCTTGCTATTCAAATAAAATGCAAAAGTAAAATTTTGCGGCTAAAAGTCAGAATTAGAACATTCGGAAGTCATTCTCACTGTTTGAGTTTCACTACCAAATCTTGACTGTTTTGAATAAAATAGATAGACTAATTGTTGGATAAGTAAAGAACAATAGATCCTATTTGAGTGATTGTACCCTGTTTTACTCGGTCTTGTCTTCGAGAACAGAGTATAATACAAAATGAAGGCGGCTAACATCGCCATGAAGAGCAAGTAATGACAAGAAATTGTATTTTTTCTACTTAAAACTGCCGATTTTGACTTTCACACAACGATATAAGAAGAAAGATAACGAAAGCAAACTGTTTTCTGTTACGAATATATAGAGAGATTCTTTTTATCATAGAGACGAAACGTTTTTTCATCGTAGGATTGCATGTCTACTCGTCTATAAAGACAAAGATACAGACCATATAAACACATGACAGGAGAATATCAACTCTCTACTTTAAATAAAGAACAAAAACACAACGAGTTCGTTATTCTTTTCATCGTCCATACTTTGATTCTTGCACGTCTGGAATGATATAAATCACACAAAGAGAAAAACATCACCTTCTAACTGAAAGAATCACGAAGAATGCAGTGTTTTAACCCTAAAATAAACATAAAAGAGATAACACCAAGCTATCTTACGGATTAGCTACAGCAATTATTCGACTCCTAGCAGAAATGGAGCAAAGTCTAATGGTTTAAAGTTGTTTCAAAAGCCCTACTTCTTCGAATTAAATAGATAGACTAATTGTTGGATAAGTAAAGAACAATAGATCCTATTTGAGTGATTGTACCCTGTTTTACTCGGTCTTGTCTTCGAGAACAGAGTATAATACAAAATGAAGGCGGCTAACATCGCCATGAAGAGCAAGTAATGACAAGAAATTGTATTTTTTCTACTTAAAACTGCCGATTTTGACTTTCACACAACGATATGGGACCGTTCAAAAATCTCGTCATCATTTTTTAGCCTAAAGTAAGAAAAGCTATAACTCCGCTTATCAGCAAGTATAAATGTTTCTGTTAAAAATAAAAACGAGACCATTTTCATCCTTTTTTGGCTATTTTAAATAAATAAATAAATGCTGGAGCCCCGTTCGCCGATGTTACTCACACTCGATGATCTTCTTTTATTTATATTTCCAGCAAAATCATAAAATATGAGTAGCATCGTTTATCTCTTTCGGCACGTAGAGCCCGACTCCAATGGAAAGAGTTTCAATGCATGCAAACTAAAAAGGTTTTAAAAAAGACGAACTAAAAGGCATGCAAAAAGAGGAGGAAAATAGTGAATGAAGTCATGCAAAGAATAAAAATAATTAGTTTAGAGAGAGAATAAAAAGATAGTCATATTCTACATGCAGCTGGTTTATATGGAGACACGACACACATATGTACAGACACACGCACACACAGTATAAAATTGCTACGAAAAACATAAAATACGACTTTGTCAAAATCGATATGTAATATGGAGGTATTTCAAGCTTTCGATGTATAATTCTACTCACATCTACATAACTTGTCCACAGATATTTTACTGTCAATATTTTCAATTTCTGTCGTTTCCTGACGATGATGTCAGTTATAGATCGAAAGCTGGAAATAAACCTACATTACAGATCAATTTTGAGTCGTATTTTATGTTCTTCGTAGGAAATTTTATACCCTGCTTTCTCTTCTTTAAAAATTGAAGAATCATGTAAAATGAAGACTTCTGTAAAGTTTTTAACATAGACAGTGGAAGAAAATGACATTCTACGTGCATATACAGTAACTCGAAGCAAAGAAAAATTGACCGCGAAACACAGTAAGTTGAGTATTTCGTTTCAAAAGAAGGAAAAAAATGGAGTAAATGCAAGAAAAAACTTTTTTTGCTTATTTCAGAAAAGAAGTGAGTATTTCATAAATGAAGTAAATAAATGGAATAAATACGTTTATTCATGTATCTGATTGAAGGTAAATTTCATGAATGATGGTCTCATCTGGGTGATTCTAGCATAGAGCTAGTGATGAGACGTCAAGCAAGAAATAATACTGTACATCTAGTTCTTAAGGTCGACGAAAAGCAGGAGTTCCTTTTTTGAAACGAATTTTTAAAAAGCGTCTGGGAGCATTTTTGACCGATTTTCCATCTCCATTTATGTAGGCTAAATATCTTTCGCTAGTTCGAAACTCAACATTGTTTGCTGAATAACAAAAATCTCCAATGTTAAATCGGGTATCTAGGTTCAAAACATCGAGCAAAAACTGTGATGAAGTCCATTTTTTCCCAATTTGTTTTTTTTTGCGCCGTTCAAACATGTACCCACTGATCAGAAATTCTTTTGACCTCAAGTCTCCTTTTTTATTTGAACGAGCACCAGATAATAAAAAATCTTGAAGATGTGGGGCTAAACTTCGCAAACTGGACTCTCGAATAGTGCGTGAGGCTATATGAGGCGCATCGAGTGAAAAAACTGGCACATGCATTTTATGCAAAGTTGCCCAAAAACCACTGTTACGATTCGGTCTATTTTTTCGTAATTCCATACTCACAAATACTTCAATAAAGGAGTTAGTTAAAGGGTAACTTAGTTTACCTTCTAAAATGAGCGAATGTTTGAATCAAAGTGAACTTTTTTTTCTGTTTGACAAGAAGTGTCCGTTTTGAATCACAATTGATATATACTGCTTTTTTGAAAAAGCGACTACTAACGGTGTGTCTATAGCAAAAGAGAAGGAACAAAAACAAATGAATATTCAAGAAAACAAAGAGTTGTACTTCTCAACCTTCATGTCAGCCATGCGGTTTGTGTTTTTCTGTCGCATAAGTATTGCTTTATATACAAATATAGACACACGAAAAATCACTTTATTTTTAACTAAAACTGGTTGTATTTAAACATTTCTTGTCATAGTGTGACTTTAAAAAAAAGAGCTGTTTATAATATTCTAAAGTCTCAAATGGTCTATATGCTAGTAAAATAATTAGAAACAAGGTACGATTTTGTTTCTGTTGAGTTTAAATTATCCCAGGTATGTCTACAGCAAAATCTGTTAAAGTTCAAGTTGACGTATCTAATTATGCGTCGTTAAAAAATGAAAATGTGCTGCCCGATGTGACAGCAAAAGTTATTTTGGCTTTAAAAGCAGAAAGAACTACCGCAAAAGATTGTGTTGTCCGTAACGCCTGTAAAAATGCAATCACACTTTGTCTGTCTAAAAAACGCAAAAGCCCACCTACCGTATTAACTGTTTATGTTGACCGTAATAATGTTCTTGAACAGCTAGAAGAGAGTACCTCCGAACTACATACTAATAAAGAGACAGAAACCTCAAGTGTTTTTAAATCAAATTTAGTTCTGCCTATCCCGCATATATACATTTTTTATGAGCCAGAAATAGGTATGATAGTTAAGGCAAATTACCATTATATGTCACCTTATTTGAAACACTGTCTTTCTCGAAATAAAAATCCTATCAATCTAAAGAGCCTTCTAGATGAAATTTGTACATACGCCTTTTATACTCATCATTTTTTTGTAAATATTCGTCAGCTGAAAAAAGAGCTTGCAATTCAGATTTGCACCTTTGTCAGAGATGCTAAGCGGAAAGCGAAAACAACTGCGTTAACTGTTCTAACTGAAACCGATACTTTTACCCTCACTTTAAAATCCGTTGAACCCCTGTATCAGTCCCTTTCTTACCACAGCATGTTTCAGTTTTATAAAAGCAAAGTAGAAAACAAAAAGTTGCTGTTAATTCGAGACAATAGTGAAATGATATGTTTTCAACCTTTTGAAAAATCTGTAGATATAACGGTAACGGTTTCTTTTCTGCACGCAGCTTTGGACAAATTCGATACTAATGGGTGTGTACAAATGGATGAATTATATAAGATCATCAGTAACTATTTTCGTGAAACGCTATTCTCTTTCGATGATAATTCTTTGTTAGATTCTCTAAAATCAGATATTCTTTTGTTCCGTGCTAACGAAGAATCCGCCGTATTTTTTACTTTTACGATTTCATCAGAGAATGTAGAACCACAAACAGATTTTTTTTACTTTGATCAGTTAATTGGACCAACTTACGACACTCGAGGAATAAAAAGAGTTTACGAAGAGAATCCAGTTGATGAAGAAAACAGAAAAATGAATGTTTCTTGGCAAGCAGCGCAAAAAGAAATAAAACGTCAGTTTCTACACATCAAAGATACTCATCATGTTACTGATTCTGTTCTAAGAGCAATATTTCAGTTTTTTCGAAAATATAAAAAGCTTTTTTCTTGTGGTCAAATAGAACGTCTTCGTAGGGAAACTGACAAAAAAATTCCAATAATTGCGTCTAAAACTAGTTCTTTTGTCAATTTTGAGTACGCCATCAGAACGGCAATTTTTGTCGCCAAAAAATTTAATCCAGAACTTGTAAAACTTGACCGATTAACGTTAAGACTGAATATGGATGGAACGCTCATCGGAAACAAACATATCGTAGCCGTGTCTGTAAACTGTATAGAAGGAGGAAGAGCCTGTCAAAGAGCAAAAGTTCTTGTACCTGTCGGACTGTTGGAGGTACAAGAAGAGTCTACAGAAATATTGCGCAAAACTTTACCCAGAGAATTTTTAGACAGCATCAGAAATGTTAAGCAAATTCGTTTAAATGGAAAAGATGTAGATATCAAAGTTAAGCTAGGAGGAGATTTTATGAATGCCGTTTATGTGTTTGGTTTAGCAGGAGTTAGTTCTAACTATCCTTGTGTCTTTTGTACTCAACATAAAGATCATCTTCACGTGACTGAGCCGGGACAGCTTGTGAGAGAACAGTATTTCACAGGAACCAGGAAAAAAAAAGAAGCAAGAGAACGTCTAGTTCCAGTTGATCCCACTTCGTACCATGATATTAGTAGAAAAGCCAGAAATCTGGTGGAATTAGAAGACTGTTTGAAGAGTGACAAAAAAAATGATCTCGGGTATAAATGTCAGCCTCTATTCGGGGATTTATTCGATTTCAAGGACTACGTCCTTGATACGCTGCATATGACGTTGAGAATTTTTGATGCTTTACTAAACGATATCCTGAAACATGCATCTCAAACGCAGAAATTTGGAAAAGATCATCTTGATATAGTCCAAAAAAATAAACATTCTTAACGCTCATGCGGAGAAAACAGTAGGTGGGAGATTTTTCTTTAAACTCGACTATGAAAGCAACAGCATTAAACAATGCGTCAGATTTTCGGGACGATTACAGGAACTTTTCTTCATCGACACATTCCCGTATTTAGAAATTATTGAAGACTCCAGCATTTCATCAGCGGCAAAAACAGCTGTAGACAAATTTAAAGATCGTTTAAAAGTCCTGAAGGAGGAAAAAAGCAAACGAAAAAAGGTTTTGGAAGTGCTCTCAAAAGAATTTGTCAACGGATTAACTGAGTCAGGGCTTAGATCAAAAATCACCCCTTACATGCATATTATCGGAAATCATCTATTTCAATTCGATGAGCTAGAAGACTTAGGTGCATTTGATATGCAAGGCGTAGAGAAAGGAAATGATTTATTGTCTCGTCTTTATTTTTCATCGAGCAATCCAGCAAAAACACCTCTAAAGACAATGATGCTTCATCTTTATCGCTTGTTAGAAATGAATTTTGAAAACCCTCGCGAAAGAGACGCTATAGCCCGTTTTGCTGAGACGAAAGTCTACGACCTTGATGAGAACGAGGTGTTCTTCAGCTCCGATGACTTACAGGATCAATTTGACAGAAATTCTTTATACATGCAGTCAGATCTCGCCGAATCTAGTGAAACGGAAAACCCTGAAGAGCCTGGTGATATTGAGGATAATTTCTCAGAGGAACAAGAGATAGGTTGCTCCCTAAAATATTCTTATGTAATACCAAAACGAACAGAAAAACGGTTTAAAAGCTTTCGCAGCACGCAAACTCAATCTCATGATTGAATCCTGTACGAACTCGTTCTATCGCTGACAGAAAGCTTTTGTCAGTAATAACCTGATAGGACCAAGTCACGGATTCAGTAATGATAACTAAGAAAACCACTAATGTGTGTGTGTACATATGTGTGTCTCCATATAAGCCAGCTGCATGTAGAATATGATTATCTTTTATTCTTTCTCTTAACTATTTTTTGACAAAGTCGTATTTTATGTTTTTCGTAGCAATTTTATACTGTGTGTGCGTGTGTCTGTATATATGCCGCAGGGTATTACTCTCATTTCGTCCCGTATTTTTTAATTAGCTCTTGTTTCGTCCCGTTTATTTTCTATCATTCTACTCATTTTATAACTATTCATTTTTTCTATCAACTGTATACTAATCAATATTAATATAATTAATTAAGATAATGTAAGAAATTGATAGACGGCTTTATAAGTTACATTTATTATTTTATTTACGAGTTACAATGAAACAGGTAATTTTAAAGTATTAACACATTTCCCACATTTAATTGCAAGTTCAGTTCCAGATAAAGTACCATTTTCATAACTTTTAAAATTATTCCTTCAATTTCAATATTCAAATTCAATACACGTTATACAGAATCTTTCACACAAACAGCCAAATGGAAGAAAGTCTATAACAAATGGGATAAAAGATTGAAAGAATATTTTTAAAAGATATGAAAATGGTACTTTATCTGGAACTGAACTTGCAATTAAATATGGTAAATGTGTTAATACTGTAAAATTACCTGTTTCATTGTAACTCGTAAATAAAATAGTAAATGTAACTTATAAAGCCATGTATCAATTTCTCACATTATCTTAATTAATTATATTAATATTGATTAGTATACAGTTGATAGAAAAAATGAATAGCTATGAAATGAGTAGAATGATAGAAAATAAACGGGACGAAACAAGTATGGGACGAAATGAGACGGGACGAAACAGAGCTAATTAAAAAATATGGGACGAAAAGAGAGGATACCGTCGCAGGCATAAATGAAATGTAAGAGAATTTAAAATATTCCTAGGAATAAATAAAATTTTAATATGAACTAGTTCAACTTAAAATTTCACAACTTTTCTATCTATTTTAAGTTGAACTAGTTCATATTAAAATTTGATTTATCCCTATAGCAAACAAGTTCTGTCACCTATTTCAACAATTCCTACAGGAATAAATACAATTTTTCTTCTGACTAGACGAGTAATAGTGAATGCATTTATAAGGAAAGAAAAGAAAGCGTCTTTTCAAAGAGTTGTTGAATAAACAGAAAACTCCTTTATCCATTGACAATGGAGTTGTCTTACGAGAAACTGGATGATCATGTATCAAAACTCAATCAAACATTTCGTTCCAAATTTGTTATTAAACGTACAATATATGACGAAGTAATATCAGCATTGTAAGACTGATGAGGTAATGTACAGTTTTTAAATTTTGGGTCAAGAAATATTTCAAATTAGTTAATATCGGCATAACAACAGTGGTTTATTTTATTAAATCAAACCATTCATTTATCACATACGAGGATCTTTACGATAAAATTAAAGAAATCCACGAAAGGGTTGAACATCGTGGTCGAGACAAAAGATGGAGCGAAGTAAGCTAAAATTCAGTACTTCTTCTCTGACTATAGGTTTCTCATGTTAAGGTAAACCTCGTTCTGATGTTAAGGTAAACCTTGTCTCGACTATGATGTCCAACCCTTTCGTAGATTTCTTTAATTTTATCGTAAAGAACCTCGTATATGATAACTGAATGGTTTGATTTAATAAAATAAACAACTGTTGTTGTGCCGATATTAACTAATTTATCTACTCAGGTGAACCTGAGCTAGTATTGAAACCGCTTTTCCAGCTTCAATATCGTGCAGCTCTGCTGGTTTCTGGATCCATGTACTTATCAAGTAGACAAAAAGTTTTAGATATACTAGGCTGACCTGATCCGAAGATAACGTTTGACATGAATAAACTTATTCTGTTCAGAGACATATTATCGGGCGATACGCCCGAATATTTGCGTGCACATATTAAAAAAAACGATTCAGTTCCTTATTCGCTTCGCAATCGACCTGAGTTGAAACAGCTGCACTTAAAGTCTGTACGTGCAGAAAAATATTTTTTTCCTTATACAACTTCTATGTGGAATTCATTGCTCGATACTGTAAAGCTGAATTGCTTCAGGACACAGAAATTTAAGACTGAACTGAGAATCTATTATAATATTAATATATTTCATTATCGAATGTATGGTATTGATCGAATAGCAGATATCTCCTTCAATCGTTTGCGTGTGATTTTCCACCACTAAATGCAAACTTGTATACTAAAAAACTTAGTCTCACTAATCTTTGTACCTGTGGTGATATTGAAAGTGTTGAGTATTATCTGCTACATTGTGTGTTGTATCGATCGCAACGAAATAATCTTCAACAGGAACTCTCAACTTTGGACTTGCCGCAACCCCTAAGTAGTGAATTGCTCTTGCGTAAAATTCTCCTTTCAAAGGAACAGTATTTGATAGTGTACCGTAGTGTTATTGAATATATTTTTTCAACTAAAAGATTTGTGATGTGAAATTTGGTCTGCATCTCTTAGCACACTCGATCCTGGTCTTCCTTTCTTCTCCTTTTATGTCTTTTTTTTCTTTCTGTTTCTTATCTTTGTTATGTATTTGTATTCTTTCTCTGCTATTTTCCTTAGTATTTTTTTCATTTTTATTGGCTAGGCAGGACGATAGTAATGGGGCTTTGCTCTCTTTTGATCTGTCTTAGTTATAACTATTTGTTTCATCAATAAATAAATAAAGTTTAAAAAAATAAAAAATAAAAACGATTTCGAAGACGAACGACGAAAAAAGATTTCTTTAGTTTTATCGTAAAGATCCTCGCATGTGATAAATGAATGGTTTGATTTAATAAAATAAACCACTGTTGTTATGCCGATATTAACTAATTTGAAATATTTCTTGACCCAAAATTT